GTGAAAGGGGTGGGGGTAGGGGTGAGGGTGGGGTAAAAATATTGAACTTAAAAACAAACTTTAATTTTTTTTTTTTTTGGGGGGTGGTTGGGGGGGCTGGTTTGAGGGTAGGGACCAAATAAATTGATTTTTTCAACAATTTTTTTTTTTAATTGAAAAGTTGGAAGAGAGTTTTGGAAAATATTTTCCTTAAGTTTTGAAGGGAAGTCATTTTCCTTAAATTTTAAGGAAAATGAGTTGATTTGGAAAATATTTTCCAAAACATTTAACCCAACCAAACATGAGAAAAATTGAAAAATCATTTTTCCGAAAAATGTTTTCCTTCATACCAAACACATCCTTAAAGAGTATAAATTTTACAAGCTTTATAATCGTACAAATATCATGATAGGAGTATTAATTTTATTTTCAATTTTTTTATAATATAAATTTAAATAGGAGTAAGACTTTTGAGTTAATTTCAAGAAAAGCATGGCCACATCAATGAAAGTTTGGATCGTTTACCAGTTCTACGTATAAAAAGGTATGATATATTCTCTCTATCTCTATTTATTTATCCATTTTTAATTTGATATATCTATTAAGAAAATAATAATTGATATAATGAATTTATCATTTCATCTCTATTAATTGATAAAATTTCAAAAACAAAAGGAGTATTTATTAGTACTCATCCACTTTTTATTGCATGCTAACCTAATCATTTTACCTTGTCGCTTAAGTTAAAAGTATGTTTAAGGAGTCGGTGGAATTTATTGCATACATAAAATTTTAAATTATTTTATACTCCTCCGTCCACTATATTATAAATAGTTGCCCAACAATAGTTGTCCAGTTTGGAAAATCAAGAGATAATTTATCTATTTGTGTGTATGTTACCCTTAGTATTAAATACTATTCAATATCTAATACATTTCTCAAAGCATTAAATTTAATATATTCAAATGGATAATATAGTAATATTACTGATTTTATTTGTTGTTTCTTAAGGTATATATCAAGTCAATTATGTACAACTATTATTGGACAGAGGGAATACTAATCATCAAGACGTTAATTATCTCTTTGTGTGTATGTTACCCTTAGTATTAAATACTATTCAATATCTAATACATTTCTCAAAGCATTAAATTTAATATATTCAAATGGGTAATATAGTAATATTACTGATTTTATCTGTTGTTTCTTAAGGTATATATCAAGTCAATTATGTACAACTATTATTGGACAGAGGGAATACTAATCATCAAGACGTTAATTATCTCTTTGTGTGTATGTTACCCTTAGTATTAAATACTATTCAATATCTAATACATTTCTCAAAGCATTAAATTTAATATATTCAAATGGATAATATAGTAATATTACTGATTTTATTTGTTGTTTCTTAAGGTATATATCAAGTCAATTATGTACAACTATTATTGGACAGAGGGAATACTAATCATCAAGACGTTAACGTGAGATTGCAAATAAAAAGTCGCTTTCAAGTGGAACACTTTTGAGCCGACCAAGTTCTCTTTAGAAAAGACCCTGCCTAGAAATCAATTCCCCAACCCCAGCCATAACACCTCCCTCGGCGTGTACCCGGGAGCCACTTGAATCACCGAACTATCATAGAGTAATGGAGGAAGACCCTCGTCAAACAATCCTTCAAGGAAATCTTATTGGACAAGAATAAGGACCTGAATGAAACTTACACGGACCTAGTTACAGGAGTCAACAAGCTAGAGGAAACTGATCCAGAGGACTCAATCACTCCATCAAAGGAGGACAAAGCAAGAATATACCTCCCGTGGAAACACTCAGTTATCATCAAATTGGTGGGAAAAGAGTGTCCCACCAGTACCTCAAGAGGAAACTAACTGAATTGTGAAAACCTACCGAAGGATTGATCGCAATTGATCTTGGATGGAATTTTTTCATAGCTAAGTTCAATCTGCAAGAAAACATGCAGAAAGCTCTACAAGAAGGCCCTTGGTTCATAATGGGAAACTTTCCTTCGGTAAAGAAATGGGAGCCAAACTTCGTCCCACGAGAGTCCACCATTTCTCCCAGTACCATCTAAATCAGACTACCTCAACTACCAACTGAATTCGCTACGACAGATTCATACTAGAAAAGATCGGTAGGAAATTAGGAGCACTCCTAAAAATAGACACTTGCACATCCGCCACACTGAGAGGAAGATATGCAAGAATATGCATTCAGGTCCCAATATGAGTGCCAATCAAGAAAACAGTCAAAGATCGGCAGCCACCTACAAGAGATCTTATACGAAGGGGAAGGAACATTATGTACTGAGTGTGGGCGAATAGGTCATACAAAAAACAAATGTGCCTTCACACCAACACCAAATAAAACTAAAACCACAATAAGCCACCCACTGGGCAATATCTGAATAAGAGCAATGAAGGGTCGTCGCCTTCCAAAAGAAGGGAACCAAACCCAACAAGCAGAACAACCAACAAGAAAGTAAGGAACCTCCCCACACACAAGTAAAATTATTCGATGCCAAATCAGGTAAAATCTGTGAACCCTCCACTCTTAACTCGAATCATTCTATTTCCTCTTTTAAGTATTCCACTAATGAATCCTCTAAAAGTAAATGAAAACAATGGATTGAGTTAGAAAATAATAAAAACAAAGTAACCACAGGGAAGGGCACAACCACCTTGAACTCAAGAGAAGGAAAAAGCATTTATGAGAAAGATCCCCACACCTACCTGAAAGGAAATACGTTTTCTAAAATTCAGCAAGCAAACCCCTCTCTCCAGATCAACTCCTAAGGACCCCACCAGTAGAATTACTATGCTACGACTCCCAATACTACTTGCAACTCTGCGTCTCCCTCAAGGGGGAAGGCAAGCATCGCCACCCCTAGCAAGAAACCTCTCTCTATTATAAGAGTTAATCATCATA